AGTGTGGCATGGTCTCCACGTAGGTAGGAGTGTTATGGTGGACTGGTGTGTGTGTGTGTAGAAATGGTCGTTTGTGGAGTTTTGGGGTTCTGGGATGAGTAGTGGAGTATTGTTTGGGGTATGGCAGGTGTTACATTGATTCTTTGGTGGAGCAACGTGATGGTGAGGAGCGAGGTGATTCTGTTGTTTTGGGATATTTTGAGGAGGTGTAGGGTTTTGAGTGTTAGGGAAGTTGATATCTAGGGTGCTGAGGGAAAATGACAGGTTTGCTAGATTCCAGACCTGATCGAGCTCTTCCTGGAATTTCAACAGTTTCTATTCAAGTTGTGACACATTCTCGTTAGGAACCCGAATACCCTGGTCATCAGTGGCCTCTACCCATTCAGATGTGTTCTCCTTCCTGATGTTGTTTAAATCTTCCATTTTATACTTGCCTTTTTTCTTGCCTTTAATGGGACTAAGAGGAGGAGTGGGTGGAGGGCCCCTGGATCTTGTAAAATAAGATGATGATGCCAAAATGCACGAACTAACCTTTGGGGAGGGGAATAATAAAATAAAAACAAAAACAAAAAGGTAATCAAGTCAGTGAAGATTATAAAAAGTATTGCAATATTTAAACACATAGTGCGGGAATGTAAAATGTGTCCTAATTTGGGAAACCTCTTTGTGCCCGAGGTAGGCCTAGCAATAAATTAATTTGGAGAACTTAGAATGCTAAATGCTGCATTTTATGGATAGAAATAGAAGAATCACAAATGACACTAAATAAACAAGAAATAAAAAGTCACTAATGGCCATTGGCCTTATTACATTCATAAAGCGAAAAAGGTAAGCTCCTATCTACTTGGTCCCAGAAGGACCTTCCCCAGATTCGGCAGCCTTGACTCCGTCAAACAGCTTCCCCAGCTTACAAAGTCCCAGCAACAGGTATGCTCTGCCAGATGTCTGCCTTCGGTCCCTTCAGCATTTTGACAATCTTCAACCCTTTTGAGAAACGTTCTCCCCAATTCTACTATGCCTCGCTCCAAGTATCCTAGCCTCTTGTTAGCACTGATAGTCATGTCTTTCCATTCCTCAATCAGCTTCTGGTTGGACTCTTGTATCTCTCAGTGTTCGCTCTCACATTCGTGGATCCTTTTGTGCAGCTGGTTGTACTTGACTTGCCCCTCGTCCCTTTCATCTATAATTTTGTGACCTCGAACGAACCCTGGATGGACCAAACCATCATGATTGTCTTCCAACCAACCTGAATAGAAAGGAGTATAATAAGCATTATATATGTCTGGCTCGATGGTGTCTTTCCCCATTACGATCTTGCAATGCCACATGTGTTGGGCTTGGCACTTGTAGGGACTGTCATCATTTTGGAAGTCGGATCAGAAATGGCTCATCTTGTCGACCCTGGGTATAACTTGCTTCCTACCAGCTTGTCTCATAACTCGAAGAGGGACGTAAGGGTATGTTCCTCTTAGACCTATTAGTATCAGGAAAGGTGCATCTCTGGATCGGGCGATGAACTCCTCTGTCGGAAACCACTCGGATATCCATTGAACTTGTTCTTCAGTCAAATTATCAAATAGCTCAACCAATCCATTGGCATTCTCAGGCTGAGCGAACATGTCGGGGATGTAATTCATTCGCTTTGGATGGTGGAAAGTGATTTGGTCATCACAGTCCCTTCGCTGAATTTCTTGTCGGTATTCGCCTCTTTGGAGATGTTCTATGAGCCAGAGTTGAAGTAGTAAATTGCAGCCTTCGAAGTGTTTTGCTCCTCGTTGACACTTCTCTAAGGCTCGGTATATGTCTGCAATGATCATGAGCACAATGTTGAATGTCTGCCCACCAATCCCCTCAATTAAGGTCTTAGTTACTATAGCCAGCCTAGTATGGATTCTCCCTTTCTTCATCGGAAACACAATCAGACCCAGAAAGCAGAACATGAAGACGAAAACCCTACGATGGATGTGTCCCAAGTATGTGATGGCAAACTCGTCAGGGTAGGTATGGTAGGATTTGTTGTGACCGTACCTTTTATACAATTAGTCAAAAGGGATGTATGATTCCTTCAGGCATGTCAATTCTGCATTCTTCTTCAAACCCATCATTTTAAGGAAACCCCTGTCTTTGCGGTTCTCCGGCATTAGAAAACCCGTAGTTTCCCATACTAGACCAGCCAGTCCTCCTATCTCCTCCAGCAAAGGTGTCATTTCAATGACCTCAAAACGGAACATGGCCCTCTCACAATCCCAAAACAATGTGGCAGCTTCTATGATCATGTTATTAGGTTGGATCTCTAAGAGGGATGGCAGATTTCCCAAATATTTTCTGACGAGAGTTTGGTCACTTGAGTGTAAATCTCTCCACTAGCTTAGCAATATTGGGTGGATGTTGGTGACCATGCCGAATATGGGGACTTCGTGCCTCATATTTCTGCAAGACAAATAAGGTTAGGCCCTTACCCCCACCAGACTCGACTATTTAATATCAACAATTAGCATGAAGTATTTAGTTCTCCAAATAAATGCACAAAACGTGATTATGTCTGTTTGGGTATAGGGAAACCCAATGGACTTTGGACAAGGCTATCTTAAAGGATCATTATATGGACAACATAACTGACCCGACTATGTTTGACCATGATGCATGCATAATTTAAATAGAGTAAGGTTTTTATGGGGTTTTAGACTGGTACCCTTGAGCGGACAACTCAAGGGGGAAGGCACGGAACTGTCGATTGCACCGCTAATCGACTAGTTTTACCGCAAATATGTCTTTCCGAATTTAGGGGTAATGATATAGGAAGAGCACAACCACTCATCAAGCGTTGCTATAGTATTTGTTTGGCACGAGTGGAGTATGATGTTGAGCATGATTATGCAATAATTAAAAGCATGTTGACATGTATTTGCACGTTAAGAAAGCAATAAATACAGCAGTTTTATAATTTAAAGCAACAACAAAAAAAACAAGGAAGATACCTCGATTTCGCTTTTGAAGAAGAAATTAAATGCTTAAAGAAATTAAACAAGTAATTGCACATAAGGAGGAGTACAAATTCACAAGAACAATCTGAAATGGTAAAAGCCTAAAAATCCCCAGCAGAGTCGCCATGCTATCGCGCCCCCTTTTTTTCCTCGCGGAAATCGAGTTCATGACATTTTTTTGGGTATGGGACAACTCTTTTCCTTTTGGGAAGGGATTTGCAATTTTGAAGAGTCGTCACCTAACGATTTTTAAGGCGCGTTAGGGCACCTATAAGGTTCATCTACAATTATGTTTGCTAACTAGAGATAGGGTAAGGGCTTAAAATTATCCTATGGGGAAGGTGTTAGGCACCCCTCAGGATCTACTAGTGTGGTTCCCGGCCATACAGGTTTTTGTGAATTTGTGCAATTAGCAAATAGACAAGTAGGGCTCAAATAATAGGGGATTTAATTTAAGATACACAAGAGTTTGGAAACAGTAATTGAAAGGTGAAATTTTGAAAAGAGTTACAATCTAAAGCATGCTTATGAATGTAAAGGGGTGTGCTAGGTTTGTTTGTAATATAGATCACATCAATACAATACCCGGTATGACACTCCTCAAAAGAGGGTCTACACGTGGTATTAGCGCACCGGTCATCATATCCATATCTACCCTTTCCCGCCCCGTAAAGGTAATTAAGTGAAGATTGGTCTCGACTCTTATTGTATGTTGTTACCCATCCTTCCTATCAGTCCCGGAGGAATTTAGGACTATTATTCCTATAAGGAGGGGGTTCTAGGCAGACCCTCAGGTTTAAAGGCAAAATGCTAAGGCAACATACAAAAACATATAAGACTGCAATTAGGGAGGAAACATATAAGCAAGTAGAAGGCTCAGTTATACCTCCATAAAGAATGCACATAGATAGCATGACTCATACACAGTTTAGGTCTGAATTTAAAAATCCTAAAGCAGGGTGTTTACGTTGTTGAAGCAAAACCAAATTTCTTACATGACTCAGATAAGAAGTCTGAATCATGCTTGCCTGCTGGTTGTAACAGTTAATAATTAAACAAAGGCAGTTCCAGTTTTATTCAGGTTATTACCTAAGGCTTGCCTAGGCGTAAAACAATGCAATAGTTATTCCGAATCATTAAGACGGTTTGGAGATTATTTTTATTACCTAAAACATGTTGTTCTAGGTGTTCAGCACATAGAATTATTGCCAGTTGATTGTAAAAAATGAGTAAAATTATTTTATTCCTTTTTATGCATTCATAGTTAGCCTAAGCGTTCTTAAGCAAATATAAATGAAATCCTAAAGACATGGTATCTAATATACAGAGATGCAGAATGATGCAGAATCCTAAGCAGGATTTCTATATGCACAAATATTACAGCGTTTAAATATGATTTCCAGAATATGCATAAATGATATATTTGTTCGTGTTGTTTAGCCTAAAACAGGATCTCTAAGTGTACATGGCAGAAGGAACATGATCGCAGAAACTCCGGTTATTAATATAATTAACGCAGGATTTTATAAGTGATATGATAGTGAAATGGACATGCTGAAAACAGTAAATGTAAGTCCTAGAGAACATGATCTCTAATGCATGAAATGAATCCTAAACACGGTTTCTATTTCACAATTAAGACTATAAACCTAATAACATGCTTTCTACCCTTTAACAACTATAGCATGCATATTTCTCATCCCTTTTCACTAGCCAACCCCATACTTGTTTACAAATTATTACGGACCATTTGATTGACTTACATAGTAAAAATGTAAAATACGTAATTACAACCATATGAAACCTGATTCTGACTTCCTCTCTGAGTTATTTAATAAACCACCTCAAATGCCAACATTGTTCCAAAGCCTTCTCATATCTGGGTGTGTCAGAGTTCTCTAAGGACCTCAAGGGATTCCGGGCAGTGCTCACACCCATATTGCATAACCAAGAGAGTAAGTGCAGTGTGGAAAGGCCAGCTTCCATGTGTCCAAGTTTAGAGGGAACTTAAGGGTCCCAAGGCAAGGCTCACACAAAAGGGACAGAACCTAGTATTCTAAAAGTATATGTAAGAGTTCTTGACATAGTTTGAAAAAGAGTTTGTGTAAAACTGGATTGTCAACTCCATTTTTTTGAAAGCAATCAGTAACAGAGATGATTGAAAGTAGTGGTAATAGTAAACAAAACCCAAACACCTCAAGAGGGGATTACACATAGAATCAGTAGCCACACAGGGGGGTCAAGGGATTTGGGGATACATAGACATTTTTCAATAAGCACATAACCCCAGCAGGGGTTTGGTCTAGACATGCACAGCAATAGCTGATACTGGCATAATCACAAACTGGCCAAAAGAACATAAACACATGGAAGGGATAGGGGTTTGGGATTAAGATAGCAAGTACACAATAAATGATTGATAAAGTATGCCTTAAAACACACACAGGGGAGTGCATTAATTTAAAGGTGAAGGGGAAACATTACAGCATGCTCAAAAGAACCACAAGCAGAAGTAAACCAAAAATAAAAGAAGCTGAAACAAACAATGAAGCATGTTGTTGTTGGAGCTTTAAAATTAAACTAGGACATACCAGTCAAAGAAGCAAAGTGCAGAAAAGTAAAGCGAGTAGAATTCCACAGTCTAGCCTTAGCTTTCCGCTGGCTAGACAAGCAGTAGCACAAATAGCAGAGAAAAAAGAGAGTTTGAGTGTGTAAGTGTATGTTCTGAACTAAATTGTTCGTGTGTTTAGAGAAGAGAGAGTAGGGTATTTATAACTTTGAAAACGAGTAGAAAATAAGGTAACAAGTAAAAGTTTAACACAAATATAGAAATAATTACAATCAGAATCCCATTAATACAAGTACTTCCCTTTAATCAAGGAATTACTGCTTAATGGATACCAACAAGGATAATTAAGGAAAGAAATCAGTTTTGAGAAAGATTTATTCTTACCATGTAAGGAAGTAGTAAAGGTATAGAGTAAATAATTGAGTCTAAATACAAAATATACTTAATTTTGGGAAAGGATTCAGTAGGGGTAAAACATCACAGCAAAGGAAGGGAATCAACCAATTTAAGCAAAACGAGTAAAACTAGGGGTTTATAAGAAAACCGTGCAATCAAACCGTAACTTAAGGAAATCAAGATCAATCAAGAACGAGTCATGATTCTGCACTTCGACATATAAATAGAAAAGAATGAATAGGAGTATCAGACATGGAAGGCCAAATATATTGGCAAAAGAAGCAACTAGATAAACATACAGCAGTAACACGAGTAGGCTAAGGATTCAGTAGTAAGAGAACCTACTCGAAACATGGTAGTCAACAAAGTCAAGTAGTCACATAGAACCAAAAAAATGAAGGAAACAGTCTAACACATAGCAACAGGTAGAGGACATCAGACCAACACGCCGAAATAAGTAAAAGAAATCTCCAAAAATTCACTATAACAAGTGAGGAAAGTTTTAAGAAATTAGGGTTTTAATAGAGCTGAGTTAAAAAAGGTAAGAACTCAGAATCAGTCAAGTCAAATAAAGAAAAAGATTTAAACACAAAGAACTCAGTCGAAACAAGTATACAAAATAAAAGACGATTTTAGAACCCTAGATAAAACCAAAGATATTTTGTGTTTTCAACATGCTGAATCAGGTAGAAGAAAATCATAAACAAATCATTTGAACATAGTAAAAACAACACTGAAAATCGGAGAAGAGATCATTTAAAAGAGGTTAAGAAAACCCTAATCGTTGAAGACGAAGAGTCGCTTTGAAAAATCGGAAAACTTTCATGGAAAACACTTAAGAGGTTCATAACATACACAGATCTACGACAGATCTGAAAGAAAATCAGAAAGTCTTTAAAGCTAGGATTTCGGAGAACCCAGAAAAATGAGAAAGACTTGAAAAAGTTACTGATCTAGCTCGAAAAGTCATGGATCTGACTCGAACGGCCATGGATGATCGGGGAAAGACCATAGATAGAAGTTTAGCCAAGACTGGACTAGATCTCTTTGAGATCTATCCATGAAATCATGAAAACAAGCAATCAGGAGACATAGGAGACCGGCACACGTCTCAAAAGGCCATGGGAATCCATGGATTAGGCGAGAATCGAAGGGGATTAGGGTTGGTTTGGGTGGCGGCGGCTAGGGTTTGGGTGAGGTTGCAGAGAGAATTGGAGAGGAAGGGGATTCAAGGGTGGCGGATTGGTGGAAATGAAGTTGGTCAAGGGGGTCGTTTGGGTTTATTTTAGGCAGGTAAAATTGTGGTCGTTGATCTGAATGATCAACGGCCTAGATTAAATGGGGTAGGTAGGGATCCGGGTTTGGGTTGGGTTTAAAAGGTTAGGGTCGGGTTTAAATCGAAATTGGGCTAGGGAATTGGGGACTCGATTTGGGCTAGATTTTAAAGCCAATTTTGGTTATAAGTTAAATAGCCATTTTTCCCTTTTAATTTTATAAAAATAATAAATAATTTCTGAAAACTAATTTAAGAGGCTAAATTGATTTATAATATATTAATAACAATTTAAAAATACAGGATCTAATTTTATGAATATAAAACCTAATTAAACCTTAAAAAGAGCTAATATTGGAATTATATGCAATTTAGCTTTAAAATACTAAATAAAATTGTAAAAATTACCTTAGCCATATTTGGCGTAAATATAAAAATCTAATAGATGAATTATCAAAATAATAATTTTGAAAATAATTATTGAGATTTTATGTATAAAATGGAGAAAATAAATCAATTTAAACCTTTAAAAATTATGAAAAAATAATAAAACACTTGGACATGCTTACATATGCATATATATGCTATTTTGAAGTTATTTTGCATATTAAAAATATATAGGAAAAAATCGGGTATCAACAATTGGCATGGCTAGAAAAAAAGATATAAGATAACATCTAACATCACAATATCAAAATGAAAAAGCTAGTTCATAGCCACTATATGGAAATCAAAAGAATAGTAATCACTTAATCTCACTTTTTAACTTCTGAAGAATAAACGGAAACTAAAGCGAGAAATAAACAAAGAAAAGAACATGTGCAACTTATTCAGGGAAAAACAAAAACTACAACATACATGAATTATCCATATCGTCAAAGTCACTTGTCTAGTGAAGTCTTCGTTATTGTAATAGAGGAAAAACTGAATTTGTTTATACCATCAACATGCATTATTTGATACGTTTTCTCAACTCATGGAAAATACATGCCAAAAAGTAAGGAAATTGCACATAGAATCTGACTAATGTTCACAAAACTTTAGCAGAGAAGAAAGAAAAAGTCCTAATACATGGTTGCTAATGCTAACTTGGCTTAAACACAAAGAGCAAATGTAATAGGAAGACATATATTTATTCAAAATTAATCAAACATGAGGTAGGGATACAATCCCATAGTCATGTCTTTTTAAGAACTTAAACATAGGAGATAGAGAAGGGAGTCTACAGCAAAGATTCTATTCATGATGATGGAAATAAAATGATCTATCTTAATTACACAAAAGAACTGAACTTAGAAATGATCAGTAGACACGCCAATTGAGTCCTAGCATTCGAAAAAGCAGGTAAAGTAGATAAATGCTTATGAGCATAACTTATTACCCTCCTCAGACCTCACTTGTGGGATTATACCGGGTCGTTGTTGTTGCATAACTTATTGCAGTTATGATTTAAATGCAAAGAGCATATGTACCAGAATACAAACAGGTCCTCTAATGCATAATTGGCCAACTATAAAGAGGAAACAAATGGAAGAAAAGCTTTATGGCATGAAATTTCAAGGCCGAACTCAATATGATGGGCATTTACACATAGACTTATAGCTTAAGTTCAGAGTCATCAACATTAATCACTAAGTAGGGATTCTAAGATTCAAACCATCGCTCGTATACAGAGTGATCAACTATCTCATAGATATACACAAGAAGAACTTTAGTATAGGAAAATATGTGTTCTGAGACTGAGAAGCAAAGTTGAATCAGACTATAAACTAGTTCTTCTCCACATTTTTCCTGGCATCCTCAAGACTCTATGGACATATTAAGGAGTTGTAATACATACAGATAAACACTATATATGCACTGTCTATAAATACTATCCTTTTTTTATTTTTGGGAACAATCTGATTACACTACGAGACTCTATAGCTGCTGAATCATTTCAGTACTTGTTTCACCACAAAGATTAGTCACAGAGTATTTGTCCTATTTCTTTCTCTCTACGTAACTGCATAAGTGTTAGTGGTAACTGAAAGAGAAGCAGCACTAGGTCCATCTAGTGACAAACTATCCATCTAGTGACAAATTTACACTGATAGTAGGTAACTCAACATTATGAGAGAATCAATTTACCTTTAAAAAAAGAAAGCTGCTCAAAAGAAAGGATAAAGTTAACTGACAAGGGCTATACCTATCAAAAATAATTGTCGACATCGATCCCAATAGTTTTACCAGCTGTTTTAGATTCCTTGGCTACCTATCAAGGCCATAAATGATATTTAGGTTAATATTAGCAAAACAAAAACTAAAGATGTCAAAATTTAAACAAACACAAACTTAATTGAACAGAAAAGTAACAAAACTTGACACAAAAATAAACGGAAAAAAAAATAAAACTATTAGCAGAAATTGACAGCTAAAACAGTGAAATCGGCGGCCGAATCAATAAAATTGATTGCCAAACGTGAAATTGATGGGCTTAAGAAGTGAATCGACAACTAAAATCAGTGATTTAAACTGATCTTCGTCCAATACACACACATGCACGCCTAAAATCAATGAAATCAATGGCTAAAACAGCAAAATCGAAACCTGAATCAGTGTAATTCACGGCTAAAATCATTGGTTTAAACTGATATCCATCCCATACACACGCATGCACGCCTTAAACCAGTGAAATCAACAGCATTTTGGAAGGAATTACATGAACGGCTTGAAATCGGAGACGTATTGAAGCGAGTATTTATCAGAAAAGGGCTATTTATAGACGAATTCAAACACATTACCTTAAACAAGTTGAAATCTGATCTCCTTACATAAAAGCTAAAGGATTTGGGAGAATCGTTAACGGATATGACCATCTTACATCATTGTAATCTCTTTAAACCTCTTATATTACAGTGATTTAATTTGGGGAATCGCTTGTTTAGAGAGAACGAGAGAGAAGGTGTAGAGAGAGAAGGTATGTACCGCCTGTTTAGGGAGCTTTAGGTGTTTGAATGATATTTACGTTATCATTAAATTTAATTCTAATATTTTTAATAATGTTACTGAATAATAACATTAAATATTAGCGGAAAAGAATTATTAAAAATTTCGTCTAATTAGTGGCGGTTTAGAACTGCCGTAATTGTAAAAAAAATGCCGGTTTAACATTGCGCACTAATGGCATCTGGAACGCTGCCGTATTATGATATATATTGCGGCAGTTTTGTTGAACCGCTGTTATTTAACCGCCACAATAATTCCAGTTTTTTATAGTGACTAGACTTTGGAACATCGGATTTGGTTTGATGTGCATGCTTGTTTCGTCCCGGTCAATGTGGCCTTGTTTCCTTGTCCTTGTCTCTGTATTTTTGCAGGTTTGGGATACTGGGACTCTTCTCGTTGGTGGTGCTAAGAGGCAGCTAAAGATGCTTGGTTTGATGAAGCACTTAATATATAGTTTGTTGTAAAAACAAGCTTCTACAGGCTATGATTTCCATGTCTTAAATAGATGAACTTTTCTTTTTGCAATTTTAGTGGCTACAGTCATGTTCCTGCTTATAAGCAATCAAGAAGTGATCTTGATTTCCAGAAGAGGTATGTCATGTGGAGTTATTTCGTTATATTGTGAAATCGAGTTTCCTCCTATTACTTTGATTCATTCATATTTTATTTCTCCTTGTTTGTTGACATTGATTGCCTCTAAAGTGGGATAGATGCTAAGCAAGAAGTAGTGTTGTTAAAAGCTCATTTAAGACGCGCTTAAGCCCTGAAGCTCAGAAAAGCTCAAAGAGGGCGTTTTGCCTCGCTTTATTTGAGCTTCAGTGTAAGGCAAGGTACTAAGGTGTGCGCCTCATAGCCCATGAGTTCTCTCTTGAATCAAGCGGCACTAAACAACTACTATAATCAAAAACAAGTGTATTAGTTGCTAAGGGAAACGTTATAAATGAATTTGTTACTTTGTTCTTGAAATATATATAAATTTTTATTTATTTCCTTCATTGCGCCTTTTTTAACTAAAGCCCACACTTTAAGTGTGCTTAAAGGCCAAATAGACCTATAAGGCTTTTTAGAGCTTTTCGCCTTTAACAACCCCGGCAAGAAGAAGAGTGTACTGCTGTTGGGGTCTTTGGTGTAGACAACAGTGGCCAGGGGAAAGTGACAGTAGTGTTATCTATTTGTTGTGCTAGGAAATCTCTCTCTCTATTACCCAACTAGAGTCATTTCTGACTAGAGTAGAAAGAGAGGGGATCTCCGGATTTTATAGTTTGTTATTCCAAAGAACTGTTTGCGTGTCTGCATTAGCATCCAGTTAACTGTCATATGATTTAGACGGATAATAGTGATGGTTATGAAACATATTGAGTGAACCTCCGTATCATCGTCGATATAGTATCTTTCACAGAAAATCTACATCTCATCGACAGTTTGTTGAAGAACTCTATTTTTACTGCCTTCTTCCAAAAGGGATGGTTTTCATTAGCTGGTTTTCTTTTTCTTCAAGGCATGATAACCAGATTAAGAATTTGTTGTATTTACGACGATAACCTTGAATGTTTTTCGTGATACGATTTTTCTTCATTGGCTCGTATATGATTTTCGTGATACGAGCACGTGTTGCAGTCAAAGTAGCTGCTCGAGCAGCGACTGAGGAGCTACCAGTAGATTCGGTTGGGGGACAGGCACCCGAGACGCCTGTTGTTGCCCCTGAACTTCAGGCGACCCTAGCACAGTTTTTGAGCATGTTCGGCACTCTAGCTCAGGCAGGATTGATTCCCCTTGTACCAGCTACATCCCAGGCTGGGGGAGGAGCTCAGACTCCCGCAACTCACACTCCAGAGCAGCGGGTCCATATTGACCGGGTTTCGGGAGTTATGCCAATACAGCCTGTTATTCCGGTTCAGTCTGAGGTCAGGCCAGAGACATATGAGTAGGAGTAGTTGAGACTTGAGAGGTTCAAGAAGTATCACCCTCCTACTTACCCTCCTACTTACAGTGGCGCAGATACTGAGGATGCGGAGGGTTTACTAGACAAGTGTCACCATATTCTATGCATCATGGGTATTGTGGAGACGAGCGGAGTTGCCTTTACTACATTTCAACTGTCAGGAGCAGCCTATAAGTAGTGGCAGGCTTGCGAGGAGGGTAGCCCAACCGATGTTGCTTCACTCACTTGGGTTCAGTTTTCAGAGATGTTTTTCAGTGAGTTTGTTTCCCAAACCCTTCGGGATACATGGCGCACAGAGTTTGAGTAGCTACGTCAGGGGACTATGTCAGTGTCAGCGTATGCCCTCAGATTTAGTGAGTTATCCCGACATGCGCCTGTTTTGATTGCTACAGTTAGGGGTCGAGCCCACAGATTCATCGAGGGGCTCAGCTATGGTATTAGATTCAGCATGACTCGGGAGTTAAAGACGGACACCCCGTTTCAGTAGGTCATAGAAATCGCTCGCAGGTTGGAGGCGGGGCCAGGATAGGGAAGATAGGGAGGCCAAGAGGCCTCGAGGTGCCGGAGGATTTAATGGTTTGGACTTTGCACTAATGTCTTGTTTTCATTGGGAAGTCAATCGATAAGCGACATAATATCTTTTGGAATTTTGAATTTGGGCTTTTTACCAGTTGTGTTTATGGTTGCTTTTCATTCGTACTTCTTAGGATCCCACTTTTAGCTTTTTTGAGTAAATTAATTAAACTTTTTGAAAGCTAACCAAACAATGCTCTGGCATTTTGTTATCTTGTGGCCTTTGGGATGTATCTCAAGTCGTGTATTTGAATTGTTACATTTAATGATGTTGGAAATACATTCATGTCAGAATTGTTTTTTATTATTATTATTATTATTATTATTATTGTGTTATGCAGAAACCGTTTCATGATGACGATGAGGGGATCCCAGTTGAACATTGAATTATCCTCTTGATTAATGGCATGAAATGAATATTTCCTTCTTCTTCCCACGTTTAGCTCTTTTCCTTCTAAGTAGCGCCGTCAAAATGGGCTTGGTCCGGCCTAACTCAGCCCCCTTCTTGGGTAGAGTTGGGCTAGGATATTTTTAACTCATTTAAAATTGAGGTTTATAAGTTCGACCCAAGTCAGCCTGCTGGCCCTTGAAGCTTGACCGAGGTTGGGTCTGGGCCGGCCCGTGGGCCAAAAAATTAAGTAAATTCAAATTAATTAACTATTAAATATCTAAAAAATAAAAATTAAAAAAACTATTAACTATAATCCTTATTCCACAACCCTAGATTGCTCATTTACCCTTCCATATCAACTAGAATTTAGATTTTTAACATGCATGTAATATAACAAAATTACAATTTATTTTGCTTAATTAATAGTGAACTCGAAAAGTTTTAGGTGGCCAATAATAATCTTTTTTCAAAAGAAAATATTACTTTAAGTGGCCAATAATCAGTTTGGATTACTTTAGTATATTATTAATATTTAAACTGCTCTTTAGTATAGAAAAAGATCAATTTTAAATACAAACAAAAAAGAGCTAGAGATATAGATGAAAGAAAATTATTAAGAAAATAATCATGTAACTTTAAAAAAGAAGAGTTAGAGATATAGATAATTTGCATTTCAATTATGAGATTCCTCGTCAATTATCATATTTTTTGTACACTTTAACCAAACAGAAGTTGTTTATATAATTAACGACTGTCACAAAATAATATTTAAGGATTTAAAGAAATTCTTTTTTAAAAAAATTGAAGGGTCGGTCCGCCCTAACCCGCGACCCTCTTAGGGCTGGGCTGGGCTGGCCATTTTAAGGCCCATTCATATGGCGGGCCGGCCCGTCCTAGCCCACCAAATTTAAAAGCCCACGAGGCTTGGGTTGGGACGTTTTGACAGCTCTACTTCTAAGGTAATATTACTTATTAGCAGGGGCAGACCCATATTGGTTCAAGCGGTTCAGCTGAACCCGCTTCATAAATATTTTTTACTATTTTTATATGGAAATTATTTCTAAAAGAATCAAACAAGCGGTTGAATCCCCTTAAACAAAGATGTTCCTTGGGCTGATGGTTCAAGCGGGTTTAATTTCTGTAAGTGGTCGTGCATTCGATTCCAAACTTAAGCACATGTTATTTCTCTCTCATTTTCAAAATGCTGGCGGGCACTTATTCGGCCTACCGCTCTTCTTATCTTCTTTTATTATTTACTTTAATTTAGTATTTTTTCTATTGTTTTGGAACTTTCTATATAAAATTAATTCAGCTTAGCTCTCTTCAGTTGTTTCTTATTTAGTGCTAGTGCAAGTTGAATTAGTGTTTTTACTATTTTAAATGGATCAAAGCGATGTTTGTTACTGAAAACTTTCTTCAATAAATTGTTAAATTGTAAAGGTAAATAGTTTTATTTTTAATATAGAGAGAGAGCTTTTTTTTAAAACAAAATAAAGAGCGGCGGGTGAATTTTCTTTTAAGGTTTTATTAAGAACCAAAATTAAAAGCACTAGGTAAACATGTTTGCTTGTTAACTTAATGTCACTTTTACTATCAATTATTTTTGAAGACTTCAGTATATGTCTTGAACCCGCTTGCATAAAAGTGTGGGTCCGCTACTGCTTATTAGCCTTGCGCATCAAAGAGTAATATCCAATTATTAGCTAGTCCACATGTCATATAAATTGGCGTCTCAATGTTAACTAACTTTATTCGAGCCTATGAATATATGAATTTATCAATTGGTTCATGAAGGGACTGGATAGTAGGTGGATAAATATGATGAAACTTGTTCCCTTAACAAAATCTTCTAACACGAAAATAAGATACCTCTGATTAAAGTACCCTCTGACTTTGATTAATTCATCTTTTATTGGTTCTTTGGTTGTTGAAAGAGAGTGAAGCTCTGAATTTAATAATGTATTGTTTCCCAAGAATTGGTTTGCATATCTACGTTGAGTCAATGAACTTAATTTGTTTTATGGAACATTGTCTTGAGAAATCAAGAAAGGAGAAAGTGTTAAGTAGGTTTTGAGATTTTGG